AAAACACATCTATATACATATACATATATATTACAATTTTCGGATAGTTACATGTACAAACAGTCCCTGTGTATATGTAAGATGAATATATATATTTTTCTTATTTCTGAACAAAGCAAATATTACTATGTTGAATAGCAAATTCTAATATGATCTGGTTTTACTATGTAGCATAGCAATTTTTATAATGTGGCGGGTATGTCTCAGCTTTCCTATAAAATATAGTAATTTTTATTATAGTTGTAACACTTTTTCTAACACCGCACTTTTCTCAGTGTATAGGAACTCTTTCGCCTGTTCCACGTTTTGTGCGTAAAACATTCGAGTCACTGCTTCGAGACAGTGACCGGCGTAAAATAAAAACGGAGTGAAAATCATTTTCAATAGAAATAGTCGACATAATAATAATAATAATGATAGTAGACACGTGCGACTGTTAAATTTAAAAACTCGGCACGCCAGTCGAGTGATTGGCAGGGGTAGTCATCAAAGTGTATCCCAAGTCGTAAGTGTGACCTTAAATTTTAATTTACGATTTTTTAATTCTTCTTCCTTCTCTTCTCATCCCGCCGGGGAAGGAAGTTGACGCGCAACCACCCAAACTGCAAGCGCGGTTTGTTCGAACGCCGGGTTCTTTAACTGTTACCCTCTCGCGTCTATTCTCTTAATGATTTACACGCTAAGCCACGCATTTATCCTATAAATACGCGCTTCAACAAATAAGAAAAAAATATCGTCGATGAAACGTCTCTTTTAAAAACACCAATGTTTTATCGAGATGAAATATTCATCAAAATTAATGTTTGCCTTCAAGAGCGTAAAAATAAGTTGTTTTCATCGATAATACCTACTTTAAGTTGTTTTACGAGAGGATGGCCACGCCGCACTTTGCTTGGAGTATTTTTATCGCAGAAAAACAATGAGACATATTATTAAAGATATATACGATATACATGCTAAAGTCTCTTAAAACACGTAAAACTGCGTTGTTTTCAAGATAACCAGACGCGATTGCGGCACTGATCACAAAGGTAACAGTGACAAGAAGGAGAGGAGGATGAGACGGAGGATGTGTTACGATATTATCCAGGTTGCGTCACGTGTAGTGCCCCAGAAACCCACCATTAAGTGCCAACATGCTTCTCTTGTACAATATTTGTGTGTGTGTGTGTGTGTGTGTGTGTGTGTGTGTGTGTGTGTGTGTGTGTGTGTGTGTGTGTGTGTAGGTAAAGACGGGCCTCTCTGCCAAAACAGCCGGATACTGAACTTGAACGTGTGCGCATTGCATGCCTGTGCTATACGTCTCTTACAGTTGCAACTGCATATTATATATATGCAGCTACGAGACAGACGAAATCAATGCGGTGTGCGGTGCCTATGATTTTTTTTTCTCCTCAAAAGCTCTTTTTTCGTACGTAGAGATTTTTTGTTTTTGTTTAATTAGTATTTTGTTTAGCTCATGAAGCGACGGACGCGAGATAAATACAAGCATTGTAAGTCCGAGCAGGAATCTCTGAACCCGAAGGCAATACAGGTATATATACCGGCAAGTTCCAGCTTTTATTTCCATTGTACGCGCGTGAGTGCACTTTGTTTTCATTGATCGTCAGACGCCGGCACATCAGACATTAGCCATTTTCTCTAATTGAAATGATGATGCGCAACGCGCGCTTACATATATATATATACACACGTTTATATTCCTTAAATCTAGATATACCTATATATACATGGGTACGAAAGAGATTGCCTCACAAGTAAGTGCAATAAGTAAAATGCAATTAAGGCTGCGGTGGTGTATCCAATCCATCCGTATATATATACATACGTACACCTCGGCTCGATTGTTTTTTTGCGCCTATTTTTTATCATCATTACCCATCATTTGGCAATAAAAATCAGGGTTGAGTTGTTCCATCGATTTATCCTCAACCCATTTGACGCACAGTGAGAAAAATGTGTATTTTTTTTTTAATGAAAAAAAAAAAAAAAAAAAAAAAGGCAACAAGCCAGCAATTGCATTAGGACCCGTTCTCGAAGAGCATGCACTTTGTCGGAGCGGACGAGCGCATCATCTTGATGGAGTAAAAAAAAAGAAAAAAAAAAAAAGAAAAAATAGCAGAGGGAGAGAGAGAGAGGAGGAATCAACGTACTCCCTATATATAAAAAAAAAAAAAAAAAAAAATCGTCTCCCTCTCGTAATACAGAGTCCAAGTAGGTATATATATAGGCGCGGATAGCTGCACTGCGAGCCAAACAATGCGAATGACTTCCGGACCACATAGCGTTTATCTGCATGCGTATGCGCAGTATAGACACGCGATACGTGCCAATATACATTATACTATATACACAAGCGTAATGATGATATGACATTGTTGCCCTGTTTATTCCCAGTTCAAATGCTCGCTTCGAATACTCGTGATCCTTCAAACGATGATCGATCGAGGATCAATCCATTGTCGGATCGTACGTTGACGTTGCAAGTGATGCGCCCTTCGAGGTATACTTACGTACATATAGTAAAAGAAAAAAAAAAAAAGGAGACGTAGAGTGATTCTCAAAATACGCCTCACCAATGTATGTAACCACACACGTATCCTCCTCCTGGGGTATACGAGTCAAAAAAGGCAAAAGAGACAGTTCAGCCTCCCTTTCCCCCCGTACCCCTGTAAAAAAGGTGTATACGTCGCCGGTTGGGAAACTGGGGGCTCGTGGAGGGATGGAAGCGCGGATGCATCGGCAGTCGAGCAGCAGTCAACCCCCCTTTGGCCGACCGGGCACGGTTTCCGCGCGCGCGCATCGGAGCACCCGATATTTCGCGGTGGTGTGTGTACAACACACGTAGGTATAAATTATATGTGTGCAGCGCGAGCGAGACAGGCTGAGGGTGGGGAAGGGAGCTTGGGAGTGCGAGGAGGAGTAGTAGAGGTGGCCGGTTGGTCTGGCGCACGCTCCAAGCTCCCCCGAGAGATGAAAAAGCTCGGGTTCGCTCAGTGCTGACTTGTGCCCCGAGCACCGCGTCTCGTCTCGTTTTACTCTCTCTCTCTCTCTCTCTCTCTCTCTCTGATAAAAGAGATACATTCTGACTTGCTGATTATACTGTTGTTGTTGCTGTTGTCATTGTTTACTTTCTTCAATCGTACCTCGGGACTTTGAGGTGTTGATCGATGGATGATGCATATAGTCAAAGCTTTTTCCACGTTGTTGGCTATAGACTACGTGCTGCCGGTGTGACAATGTGCGACTGACGTGGGGGTATGGTTTTCTGAACTTGTTTTGCCGTGACGGTGTGCCGCCGCTCATTTTCCTGCCCTTTGATTTTTGCCGTTCGAGGGGTGAGCGTATTTACATAAGCGTGCTTCCGGTGATCGATAACTCCAAACAGCTTTTACACTTTTTTTTTATCAAGTACACGTAGAGCGTATACATTTTTTTTTTTCATTTCGAGAAATACAAGCTATAAGATTCTGATTGCCAATTGGTTATTACTGCAGAATAATGGGGGGCAAATTAATTTCATATCGCGTGCCAACGTTTTTATCGAAAAGTGAGGGTTGCAAGATGTTGGCCGAAATGGCTACTCGTGTCATTCGCTGACCAAGTGACATTTTTTCGAGCACACGTTTACTCAGTATTGTTGGTTAAATCGGAAAATTTGTATGAATTTCAAGCTTGACAAGTAGTAAGTTCAAGCTTTGTAGAGATTTTTTACAAGTTGATATCGATTGCTCTAAATAGAGGTCTCGATTAATTTTACCTTATCAAAATTAAAAAAAAAACTCAGTTATATTTTTGTAAATGGAAATTTCAGCATTGATATCTTTTGAATTCTGAAATATATTATTTTTTCATTCATTTGATGATTTTTAGATCAGTACTTACGGTTTGAACAATAGATGGATGGTGCACCAATAAATTCGAATTAATATTGCAGGTAGCTTGAATCAGGATATTAGAGTATTTTTTAAAAATTAGAATCATATTTTGCAGGGCAAATAAGTATTTTATGAATAAGAGGCGCCGATGTGTACTTTTAGTTCCTCTTCGTAAGAAGGCCGACGCTTGACACACATATAGGTACTTACCATGAAAGTCTAAAATACGCGCGTCTCTCTATTAACTTTTGACATAGAGAAAAACGGTCCTCTATTTTTTACTTTTTATTTTTTTTGTACTCCTACAAAGACTAAAGTTCATATTGATTATTTTACTTCGTAATCAGCATAAAATTAAAAATAAAATTACTTTCAATTGTACGAAAATTTCAAACAGATTTATTGTATTACCTGAGAAATAGAAGTACAATTAGAGTGGAAGTTGGTCGAGCGCAGAAAATAGCTAGAGCATTTGATTTAATTAATGGATATAAACTTTGTTACTGAAGGCGTTGGTGTCCCCACATTTGGTGCAAAAATTAATTAGACATGGAAGTAACAGTGATAAAATAAAGTAGAAAAAACATAATTTTAAGCTTAAAGCGTAAAAGAAATATAATAATATGAGAAAGATAATACGTCAATATTCTAGAAAAAATCGCTTGATGCATGCGTTGGGTAGATATCGTATAAAACCTCTATTCCGGCGCAAGCCAAGATTCGAGCTTCACCCAGATGCGTAAGTGCCCCCTCCTCTCATCTCTTCGAGAGCGAGACGGCCTCCGAAATTCTCCGTTATTTTCCTTCTTCTTTCTCCTCTTATGCCCTTTTGTCATCTATAGGGGAGTGATCCTCACGGGTTAGTTTTTAGTCGGTAGGCACACCGGGAGAATCCAACACTACCACCGGATTAGCTCTGGGGTGTCTATGAAGATTTTCCCCTCCCCGCTCAATCAAAAAAAAAAAAAAAAAAAAAAAAATCGTATAAAACACATTTACTAAAATGTCCCAACTGCTCAATTTTGTAAAAAAAAAAAAAAAACAATATCGTCAAAAATTAAACTGTCATATTGATTCGAGAAGAAAAAAAGAAACAAATTATCGCGCACTTTACCCAAACCACCAACTCTCGCTCACACACAAGTCTCACTGCAACCTTCAACTTTAATCCACATTATTATTTCCAGCCAGAAGAAAGTCCGCAATTCGATCGATTCGTCATGAAACTTTTTCTTTTCCCCCGCGTAAACTAAAAAAGAAAAAAAAAAGTCTCCGCAGTGTCAAATTGTGCCGATGAAAAATTTCACGGCTCATTTTTCCCCCGCACGAGTGAGTCCTGACATCACGTATTGTCGCCTCCTTAACTTACGCTGACCGAGTTAGCAAAGGTTTGCGAAAGAGTGAAAAAAAAAAAAAAAAAAAAAAATAACGAATCAACACTCGGGCGCACGGTCACCTGTGACGCGATCGAAGAATAATCCTCGGCTCAAGCGACTGGCAATAATCGACGGCAATTTCCAATAAAAGGACGCGAGTGTCAGCACTCAACGCTCGTATGATCGCGCGGTTGCATCCTGTCATAGGTGAAACGATTCATGGTGAAAAGACTCGCTCATTGGCTGCGTTAACAATAGTTTTTGTACACAAAATCTCGTTTGCTCGTTTTATCCGATGATCTTTCGATGCCATCGCATCGGCGCGAAATTACCTTTGCACATTCATTCATCAATTTTGCATAATCAGACGTACACACATAGAATACAACCCAAGGCCGACAATCATCCTATAAAAGTATTGCTGTCGGTGAGCTTTTCCTCGCATCTCGGGCTTTACACTGCATGCCACAGTTGACGTTTAAAGACGAGCATTCATAAAACGTACGGACGCGTTTGACGGAAAAATTTAACGCCAATGCGACACGTTAATGCCCCATTGTCCGCGCGTCAAGTGATAAAGATCGTAATTGTTGCACGACGCGATTCAAGGATCGGAGCTCTCATCGTGGATGTTTGTTTGTACGTAGGTGTGCTTGTCCCACATGTGTATACGAGAAGAAGGAATGAACCATCAGTGTAAAATAAGAGCCTCGTTGATACCTATCTGTTTGAGCTTCCGATTGGCACGTCATTAAGTCATATGTAAATCTATTCGTGGTTATATTTATTTGAACTCAGATATCGTGGTTGTATCTAATTTTTCGTCAAAAGATTTTTTGAAATTGTTCATAACAGCAGTACGTAACGTTGTCCTTGTATTATGTGTTACAACATCGTAATAATAATATTGCGACAACTTTGTCTCGACAGCGTAAAAACAATATATTGCGATTGTCTCCGTTGATTGTTGGAGGAATCGCAATGCCAGTTGAACGCTGTAACTGTACAGCTTTTTGCAAATGAAAACCCCTTACTACGCGCATAAATCACCTTTTAGGCACTTGTATAAAAATGGCCCTTGTGCCATTTTAAGGTTTATCGATTGATTTTATCGACCAGAACTATATTAGATTTCAATAAGCTCCCTCATATAAACTGGACAGATTGCGAAGTACACGCGATAAATGGGGAGGGTGTTGATGGAAAAAGAAGGAGAGTCAACGGCAGAGCAATCGAGTCGGGCGAAAATACATCACGGCACGTCGTCACAGGTGCAAGCGAAGCCCGTGAACGAGTATATAAACGTGCCATCATAGATCTCGCGCTTCATCATTTTGCACACCACATGCACATAAGTATACCTATACGTACACACGCGCTCTCCCGAGAAAGGTCTCTGTCGTCACCCATGAGGAATCTTGGTCGTTTCTAACGCGCATCGCACCTCGTACACATTGGCTGCAATTCGCAGCATCACTTGTGATAAATTATCTAATCGCAGCATTTCTTTTTTTTTTTTTTCTATGCATCATCGTTGGTACAGAGAAAGAGGACACTGCAGTGGCACAAAACAGTACAGGAGGTGGAGGAGGAAAAAGGCAAAGATAAGGGGACATCCGCGTCGTGTTTCGCAGTAAAATGCCACGCAAGCTGACGCTGCTGTTGCTGCGACCGCCAAGATGACGAAAGGACCGAAACGAACGTATGAGGACAAGGGCGACGACGACGATGATGACGATGGGGATGATGATCGCCGTCAGGTGTACATAGTCTAATGTGCGTGTATAATATCGGCGGATGAGGCGCCATGTGGAAGCCCAAGTGGTCGCGCCTCGCCGAGTGGCTGGGCCGGCCGCAGGGACTGGTGCTCCTGCTGTTGCCCTGTCTGCTGCTCCTCACCCTATACTTCTTGTCGGGCAACGAGCCTGACTTCGACAGGATACAATACATGGTCTATCGATCCTACAACGCCTCCATTGGTGAGTTCGTGGGTAGTTTTTTTTCCTGCGAGAAAAAGGGCACAAGCCGAAAATCACTCGGAGGAACATAAAGTACTGTATTTTAATTTTTATTAAAAATTAGTTTGGGTACCAAATTATCTCACACAAATGCAATGTTATGATTTGCTATTGATTAATGTGTTTGACACAAAATAATCGAATTCTCAGTTGACCTTAAAAACTAATGCACCACTAAGTACGCGAGGTACGTTTTTACACGCAGCCAGTCATGTATAGTCTTGAGCAAGTACCTACTCTTATATACACAATGCAGCAAATGGAAAAGTTGATGAAATATTTAACAAAACTTTGCAGAGTTTTTTTTTCCCCTCGTACTCGGTGGGGTACATCACAAAGCTCATGGACTTTCGCGACGCACATGTTGTATATACGAGCGAACGATTACGAAGTTGGCGTTGTATATAAACCGTGAAAGTATCGGTTGACTACAGACGATTGTGAATAATGCGGGTATTTTAATCAATCCAGACTATGAAGAGTATAATTTTAAATTAACCTTACGTGGCTCGAGTGTATTTTTGAAGAGAAAAAAAAGCTTTGGACGCGGTGAAGGTCACATTTAAATTTAAATCAGACTAATTTATATAGCATTTATTTGTGCCAGTTTTCGTTCATACCTCATGATGTTGAATAAAACTCGAAATATTGTTATAGCTGTTTGCTTGATTATTATTACTTATTTATTTGTTTAATTAAAATATTGATTCACAGCGTTAAAAAAAAAAAAAATAAGTTTTTTTCCCCACTTTTAAAATCATTTCATTAAATTTTACGACATCGCGAAAGCTGTACAAAAAGTAACTCACGTGACATTGAAGTATTACTAGCGCTATATAGCCCGTGGATGTAGATCATGTATAGATCATCCGAGACGCTAGGGCTTGAAAAACCGGGCCAACGAATTACGTAGATTACGCTATACCCATTGCACCTACTGTCGCCGGTGCGGCTGTTATTGCTGCATTTAACGTGTGAGGGATTCCGCAAAGTATCACTCGTTATATAGTTCTGATTAATAATTGAAACAAAGTTTTTGCACAGCCCTAGAAACGGTTTTTGTTTCAGAATTTTTATTATGTCATTACTTTTTTTTTTTTTTTTTTTTTTTTCCTTTGGACTAAATTTGGAAAATTTGAAGCCTAATTTTATTAAAAAAAAAAAAAAAAAAAATCAGACAAAAGAATAGAAATTCTCAATGTTTGCTACGCTTAGTCAATTTTACCACGAATTCTCGATTTAGATCTGGATATTAAAAGTCTTGTTGAAACGGTTTTTTTCGTCTTTTTTATTTTTTACGTGCCCTGGTTTATCAACTACTGTTTGCTGAAAAAAAGTTAAAAAGCAAAAAATTAGTTTTTTTTTTTTTTCATAAAAAAAAAATCGTGAGAAACAATTTTTTTTGCACACCTATACTGTCCCTCAAAACATTAAACGAAATGCAGGCTAAGTACAAGCCTAAATATTATGAAGCACTGCGATCGCGATGATTGATTTTTTGTGGAATCCTTCACGTATGGTACACTAAAAATAGATTCGCAAGCGTCGCACGTAGAGCGCCATCAGTACGATGGACGAAAAAAAAACAAGTAATTAGGTGTAGTTGTATTTCGATGGACTGAAAAATTGCAGAGGTGATCGACGGCTACCTGGTGTGGAACCCCAAATGCCACATGCTAGCCAAGGACCCGCTCGACCCGTCCATCGTCAAGTTTGTGAAAAAGGAAAAGTTCGAGGCCTGCTCGACGAGTCCCCTGTTGACGAGCATCCACCGCGAAGGCAACGCCAGCGCCTACCTGGTTGTCAACCCCGAGGCAGCCAAACAGTACACCGGCCTCACCTGCTGCTGGGCCCAAATCACGCGACCCCACCACCTGCCCAACCAAACGCTCGATGAGAAAATCGACTCGAAAATCAAGTGAGCCCAATTACAATTGTACATTAATTTCCCTTTTTTTCCTTCAACTGATTGTTGTTTCCGCAAACTCGCGGGGTACCGTACACCCAGCCAAGTCGGCTTACCAGTGCAAATATAATGAGCGCAATTACGTTATTCCGTTTATTAGGCTAAATTTGTCGCGTTGCGGTGTAAGTACCGCGTATAGCTGAAACGCGCGTTTTGCAACGCAGAAAATGAGGCTCTCGAGAATTTTGATCGAAACAATGAGTTTGATGTGTAAAAAAATCGTGGAAAAATCGGTACCAAAAAACCAAACTTGTCAGGGATTAAAAAAAAAGTGACGGTGGTGAAATTCCTCGCAGCGTCGGTCCATGCGAGCCCTTCAAGGACCAAGTGCTGGTGCCAACGAGCACCGAGACGGTGCTGGTGACGTGCAAGACGCCGAAGCCCAACCGTCCGTCCAAGGGCAAAGTGAAGGGCAAGTCCTCCTCGAAAGCGGGCACCGTGTACGAGAACGTCCACGCGGTGCTGCACCCCGAGCGAGTCCGCGCACGCATCGAGGCCCACGCCACCAACAACGTCACCCCATCGGACAAGCTCGTTGGGCACAAAAAATTGAGCATCCTCATGCTGGGCATCGACAGCGTGTCCCGCCTAAACTTCCACCGGTCCATGCCCCTCACCCGGGACTTTTTCGAGGAGCGCGGCTGGCTCGAGCTCCGCGGCTACAACAAGATGGGCGACAACACCTACCCGAACCTCATGGCCTTCCTCACCGGGCAAAACCAAAGCCTCGCCTACTCGGTCTGCAAGCCCAAGGTGCCCCACGGCCTCGACAACTGCCCCCTCATCTGGCACAACTTCCGCAATGCCGGCTACGTCACCGGCTACGGCGAGGACCACGACGAAATCAGCACCTTCAACTACCTCAAGGTAACCATAGGGAGGGAGGGGGTCATTGATAGTCCTTTTTTTCATACGATCTCACAAAACGACGAATCGCCGCAGGTGGGCTTCGTGGACCCGCCCACCGACTACTATTTGAGGCCGTCGGTCCTGGCGGCGGAGCGGCTCCTCAAGGACCGCAAGCGCTTCAGCGCCAAGTACTGCACCGGGCCGGTGCTCAACGTCGACCGCATCTACGACTACGCGGTTGAGTTCGCCAAGACGTTCTCGGGCCTGGGAGCACCGTACTTTGGCTTCTTCTGGACTAACGGCGTCAGCCACGAGAACATGAACGGGCCCTCGTCGATCGACGCCCACTTCGCGGCCAAGCTCCGGGACCTCGAGGCCTCGGGCGTCACGGCCGACAGTATGATCGTAGTGCTGAGCGACCACGGGATGCGCTACGGGGACATACGGGGCACGTTTGTCGGCTGGTACGAGGAGCGGCTGCCGTTCGTCTACATTTGGCTGCCCGAGTGGTTCCGCGAGCAGAACCCAAGCGCAGCCGAGGCGCTGCGGATCAATAGAAACCGGCTGACTTCGCCCTACGATCTCTACGAGACCCTCCGGGACGTGCTGAGTAGAACCGGGGCTGGGGTGGCACCGGCGAGTAGCGGGTGTCCGAGTTGCCAGTCGCTCCTGAGGCCGGTGCCGCGCGAGCGGGGCTGCAGCGACGTCGGGGTGGCCGCGCACTGGTGCACCTGCGACGCGTTTCAGTTCGCGAGCAAGACCGACAGGGTGGTCAAGGAGGGCGCCGAGAGGTTCGTCGAGCACATGGAGGGCATCGTCGGGAGGTACAGGAACAAGAAGGGCGCGAGGCTGTGCGCCAAGCTGAGGCTCAAGAAGATACACAGGGTCGACAAGGTGCTGGATTTGGAGAGGAGCCCCAACGCCGGGGTCCTCGAATTGTTCTACCTGCTGGAGGTGACCCCCGGGGACGGTTGGTAGTTGTTTTGTATATATACGCATTTGGCTGGTTTATGTTTATTTTTTAAAGAAAAATTTTTTGGGTAAAGGGATGTTCGAGACGACCATCAGGTACCACGGACCGGGCGAGTACAGCATCAACGACGACGAGGTCAGCCGGATCAATTCCTACGCCCACAGTGCCAAATGCTTGAATGAGGGGTACAAACAGTATTGCCACTGCACAAAGTAGAGCGACTGCTCTTATGATATATACTTACATATACGCCTATACGTACGCGTTACGTTTATATATACATCTCTGGACGTTATACTTGTATATACCTGTACATACCTTTGAGCTATATAGGTATGTACATCATACATAATCGTGTATTACGGAAATACGCGTTTTATTGCAATTGTTACCTAATTATTGTACTCGTACTGTATTTTAGAATTTATATTTTTGTACATATACTTCGGGATAAATGACGTACGCCACGATTTTAATGCGCACCACGTAAAATCTAGTTTATGGAGAATGCGATAATGTGTACTTTTTTAATTGTATTTGTTGCTTATGACTTCTCAGTCAGCTTGAATTTTTTCTAATTTTAGATCATGACTTGAGTACAATTATTACTGGGTTCATATCTTTCAATACGTAAACTTGAATTAAACGAGAAGCTTCACTTGAAAATGTTGAAATCTAATCACTCAATATGTTATCAAAAGATTTGTTAGCTTAATCAATTTGATATTTGAACGTATACCAGTTTTTTTTTCCTCCGTACAATCGATAAAAATTATTAATTCAAATGAATTTTAAGAGTTTTATCACCTGTTACCTAAAAATAACGAATAAACTTCCGCTGTAAAGGGTTGAGAATGTGCTCGTATTGTATGATGGGACTGATTTTTCACGCCACACTAATGATAGTTGTAAATATTAAATAAATTTTATGTATGTGTTACGACATTGCGAATCGATGTATAGTGTGACAAGGGGTATTGAAGAAAAAGATATACGCTATTGAAAACTTTACTCGACAGCCTATAAATATTTTCGTTAGAACGTAACATGAGCCTATATTTTATGAAACAATTTACTTACGAATATTAAATGTGTGTTAATTTATGAGGAGACAAATTTTTATTTTTACTATTATGATAAAAATGTAATGACAAATGTATGATGTGTTCCAATTTACAGTTTGTGTACAGCATAATTTTATTACATGTTGTGTTAACTGATTGATCAAAAATTTGATCTAGATTGTAGTAAAGTATTTAACGCGAGGAATTGTACTCTTCTGTTTAAATCGCTTTAGATCAGTAACTCTAATATCGTATTTATTTTATGCGTTACAGATAAGTCATAAAAAGTTTCAAAATTAACTTTTTTTTTTTTTCACTTGGCTTATGAAATTTGTAGAAGGTATTGCCGATGATTTATAGTCTCAATATAATGGAAAAGAGAACTTGATGATACAAGATTATAAATATTTGTACCTTGTTGAATCTATACAAAAAGTTTTACAGTTTACAGTAGTCTTCCTCTATTGGTACTTTTCTTTGTTTAAGATCTGTACACTCTATTATTATTAGTTACTTAGTTACAACATTAATTTTCCAATATAATTAACTACATAAAATTGCTATCACGTATATAATTCTTTGGTACTTTTTTTCTATAAAAATTTTTCCATGCATTATGTTACTATTATTTTTATTAATTTTTTTTTTTATTAAACTGTTCACGAGAAGTGAGTTCAAAAATAAATGATCAATGAAAGTATAAAGTTATGAGGTAGAGAAAATGCAAAAAAAGTGTGCAATTAATTAAACTGTAAAAGCAGTTTATTATGGTAAACAATTGTATGCATTGAATATGTCACTGAAAATGAAAACGATAACTTCCACTAACATGTTAACTCTTTATTCGGCATTTTACAATATCTTGTTGTTTTCCCTGTTAGTATGAGAAGATTATCACTTTTTACTCAGCTCAAATAAATCTTAAGAGAATTTATACTAGTTTATTTAATTTGCCGAGATTGAGGTAAAATATATAAAAAATAGCGCAAATGCCTAAAGTTAAAGTTTATACAAACTGTAAAATATTGTTTTATTAAATTTTTATAATAAATACAAAGTTGTTTTTATTCCCTTCAATTTTTTTTCACTTTAGAATAATATTGTTGCGTTAGAATAATACATTATTATACCTAATTTAAAAGCTAAAAGTGTCTTAATTTACTATCATTCGAAATGTTATTAATTTACGTATATTTAAAAAGACAAATTCAATTCAATAAATTTATCAGTCCATATTTGTGACGTCTGTGATTAAAATGTATCATTAATTTACACACTGTATAAATTTTTCCACAAATTGTATACTTTTAATTGAGAAAAGTTAGATACTTTTTTTTATTTCTAAGCCAATTTAAAGTAAAATATTACACTATTACTGTCGATCATTTATTTACCAGGTATTACTAATACACCTATTCACTATTGTATTTGAAATAAAAAAAATTGGGGAAAAAAATACCAGTTCGCATTAAAATTAAAAAAATCCTATACTTAAAACTCTTATTTAAATACCTATATTTTTGTTAAACCTATATTATGTATCCGTAAAGACGTCAATCAATTTGAATATTTTAACAGACCAATCCTTCTGTGCAATGTGTTTGATTTTTTATTTTTTTCAATAAACCAAAAACAGCAATTATTCTCTTGTTGGTATATGGAACACATTTATTGCAAAATATTGCCCGACGTTTCGCCTGTCGCACAGTTTTGCGTAAAAAATTGATTTATCGAATATCAAAATATCTGTTGGATTTAAATTGCTTTTGGAGCAAAATGATAAAAAAAATACTTTTAATGAAATAACAATTGTTGAACCTCCACCACGAATACGTTTTTATATAAAACGAAGCTTCGATTTACGCAGTACTTAATATACTTTCGTTCACGCACTCGAAAATAGGGAAGCCAGCTGCTAGCTGATTCATTATTTTATTCCCATCAATAAGTGCTGTACGTATAGGTATACGATGACGAAGATAAAGTAGTGGGGGGAGGGGGGGGGCACGCCGAGCGCACCCACCGCAAGCGAGACTTGCTGCTGGGAATATCTATGGCAGTCCCTCGGCGTGTCTCGCGCGCTGCTGAACTGTTCTCGTACGAGCGTAGTAAAATCGGAGCAACCAAGTTTTTGATCAATATTTCAATTTATAGTGTACATTCACGAGAGCGAGACCGTGAGCTGATAAGGGACCTTTGCCAAAGATTACACCAAAGTAGGTACGTCCGAGTTGGTTTGATTATAATAATAAAATACGTGCAAAAGCAAGTATAAGGTCAAACTGATTTGAACATTGCGTGATATTTTTACAGTTGTTAAATATTTGTGATTAGTCAGCCTCCACTTGTAGAAGATTAACTGTGCAGTGTACGTATATATGAGGGAATAAAACGAAATTATACCATCTAGATTGATTTTTTTTTTTTTTTTTTTTTTTTTTTTGCTGAATGGGATTCCACGTCGGTATTTCTAGGCCTAACTATTGTGATTTCGGAAGCATTCATAGTGTGACGTATAAATAGCAATGGGGTTCATCGCACGTATATAGAGTAACACGTGTTTGCGAACCTTTAAATGGCCAGTAATCCTAGAGTAATCTTACAAAACATTTTTATACGTAAAACTGAAATGATTTAGTATTACTACATTGGTTATAAAAGTTGCAAAATTTTTAAACCATTAAAATAAAATTTTTCAATTTAATATTTTAAATCATGTCTATGATGTCACATGAGCCCAAAGGCAAGGATGACAATCGTGCGATTTGAGTGTGTTCTTTCATAGTGTTCGGCTCACCTAAGCCGGGAGTGGCACATTAAGTTCAGTCCACGTAAGTGGCAGTAATATTTCACTTCCGGACGCGACGTTGTTGAAATTTCATTTTTCAATTGTTATTATATATTATTTTAATATATATTATATATTATATATTATTTACAACAGATAAAATTTTTTTACTTAAGTAAAATAGTTCGGTGTATAAATATACTGAACACAGGCTTTTCCACATGATTGTTCTTGTATTTATAGTAACGAGGTAGTATTTACTAACATATGAGTTATCCTTTAACAAATATTAATATTAATAAATATAATACAACACACATAAATGTTGGGAATATATATTAATAATAATATAGAAACTTTAACGTGGCGAGATATGATGTTGAAGTGAAAAATCGATGCTCTGTGTAAAAATGATCTTTTCTTAGTTGAGTAAATAGCCTTGTGCTGTTTTTGTCTGGTCGGAAAATCAATGTTTCAAGAAAATTGATGTTTTTTTGAAGAAAAATACACAAAAGATTGTTGAAAAATTCTCATACAAGTTTCGTAATAATGTCGATTATCCAAAAAAAAAAAAAAAAANAAAAAAAAAAAAAAAAAAAAACCTAACTAATATTGATTAAGTATGCATAAACTCGTTAAAAAACCATTATAGTATAAATTTAATGGTAATAACGATAAAAAAAATTATCTGTTTCAGATAACGTTGAAGAAATGGATAATACTGTAAATTTTTAAAAATCTTACCCGTCAGTGGAAATGGTGATGTCCAGGGATTCCAAATTTTCGGCTCAGTCGATCCAATTACCGCAACATTCCGTGCCCGCTCCAACACGTGTACCCTACAATGCGCATAATACGGAGATACGGTATTTTCCTATCTGTGTGCTGTCTGGTGATCTGCTCCTTTTATCTTTTCCGCAATTATAACGACGGAGACTACAATACCGTTCAATATGTGAGCTTCCGGTTTCACAATTCATCGGCCGGTAAGTTAACTAATTACTCGTGGCGATTGGCAAAATTTGATTTTTGCATGCCCTGCAAATAAAAATATTCCAGATTCGGTCGATGGATACCTCGTGTGGAACAAAAAATGCCACATGCTGTCCAAAGACCCCTTCGACCCGTCCATCCGTAAACACTTGTGGAATCAAAAGTTTACAAAGTGCTCGGAAATCCCACGATTGACGAGCATCGTGCGAAAATCAGATGGTGGAGCTTACTTGAAAATAAATACCGATTATCTCAAGTTTTACGAGAATCTGCAGTCCTGCTGTTGGGCACCGGTTACCAGGCCGGACAGAATCAACGATCTCGACAGGGAATTCGATTCCAGAATCAGGTGACATTTAGTGCCATTTTTATCGTAAATCATCTTTACAGCTCTTATACGTCTGTGTCAACTCTTGTTTTTTATATATATATGCAGCGAAGGTAACTGCAGTGTATTCCAAGATATCGTGGCTATTCCAAAAGATGTGGAGGTTGTGAAAGTTGTGTGCTCCAGCGACTCGTCTTACTTGAAAAAAGTGCTCAGCGACACAGTTTACGAAAACGTACACGCGATCATCCAGTTGGACAAAATCAAAGACCGCTCGGAGCACCCGAGTGTTAAAACGATGCGAGGACGAAAGGCGCAAGGCAAGAAGCTCAGCGTACTGATGCTGGGAATAGACAGCGTGTCGCGTTTGAACTTTTACCGGAGCATGCCGCTCACGAAAAAGTATTTGGATAGCAGTGGCTGGTTCGAGCTCAGGGGGTACAATAAAATCGGTGACAATACGTTTCCCAACGTGATGGCGGTTCTTACGGGACAGAGTGAGGAGGAAACCTTCGCCAAGTGCAAGCCGGACACCCCCTACGGCTTGGATAACTGTTCAATTATCTGGAATCACTTCAAGAAGGCTGGGTACATCACTGCCTACGGCGAAGATAACGGGTTCATCAACACTTTCAACTATCTCAAGGTATGGGACTTGCAGGAATATTAATTTATTATGTGCACAAAGTGACACGCTTTTGAATCGATCGTATTTTTTAAATTATTTTTTTGTTAACGGCTTTAGAAAGACATCATTATTTTAATTTGAAACTATTTTTTCCACTTTTGTGGGAAAACACTTGAAATATTTATTGCTTCATCGTAGACAATTATACGGAATAATTAGTTTCGTAAAAATAGTCATACCTGACAAGTCGTATTAGGGGGAAAAAAGTTCTATTTCTATCGAGTAGTGAAACGAAAAAATTCAAAATTTTAATTGGCTTATCGAAGCAGGTATACGATGGTTTTTGATAAGATAATCTGAAAAGAATTGGCCGCAGCAGTGATAAGAAAACATAAGTAACAATTTTTTTTTTTTCTCCTAAAATAAAGATTTTTTTTATGTTAGCAAATACTTCTTTCTACATATTATTATTACTTTAATACATTTAATACGTCGGTCGACTACATTAAGTAAAACCCTTTCATAAACATGAAGATGGTTTTTCATACAACATTAATTATCATGTGTAAGAAAACGTTTTTCTGTCATTTTGAAAATTTTAAATTGGTTTGGCCACTTTGTATGAAAAAAATGTCACAAGCCAAGTGTACCTTCATAAGATTTAGGTAATTGATAAAATATCAATAAACAAAAATGTGATAAGATTTGCACCAATATTTTCATCACTATTGGATTCAATTGAGAGATAAATTGCAAGATATTGGCGATGAACTACTTTAAAATAATAAAGTGAGAACGGGCAATGAAAGTTAAAAAAAAAAATATTGATATTATTTCTCGCCCACAGGTTGGTTTCGTAAAACCCCCGACGGATTACTACCTGAGACCCTACGTCCTCGCCTACGAAGACCTTCGCAAAGGCCTGTACCGCCTTATCGGCAGATACTGCGCCGGCCCCGAGCTCGCGTTCGACCGTATCTTCGATTACGCAACGGAATTCGCCAAAACGTTCATCGGCAAGCCGCACTTTGGCCTATTCTGGACGAGCAGCGTCACCCACGACGGCTTGAACGGCGTGTCGTCCATCGACGCCCACTTCCTCGCTAAACTGAAAAAAATGGAAGCGGACGGGGTGACCAATGACACGATGATAGTGTTTTTCAGCGACCACGGGATTCGCTACGGCAGCATCAGAAATTCGTTCATCGGCTGGTACGAGGACCGATTGCCGTTCATCTACATTTGGCTGCCCGAGTGGTTCCGCGAGCAGAACCCAAGCGCAGCCGAGGCGCTGCGCACCAACCGAAATCGGCTGACCTCGCCGCTCGACCTCTACGAGACCCTCCGGGACGTCGTGGACCGGTCCGGTGGCCAGGCCCCTCCCAGCAGCGGGTGTCCAAAGTGCTCGTCCCTCCTCGAGCCAGTGGCACGCGAGCGCGGCTGCAGCGATGCCGGCATCTCTGGGCACTGGTGCACTTGTGACGCTTTCCAGCTGGCCAGTACGACCGACGAGATCGTGGTAGAGGGCGCCAATCGGTTCGTTCGGTACATGGAGAGCATCGTCAAAGAGTACAAAAACGAGGCGGGCGTGAGATTGTGCGCGGTGCCAAAGTTGAAAAAAATCAACAAGGTCCAGCAAGTGGTCGACTTGGACCGGAGTCCGGGGGGTGGTGTCTTGGAGTTGTACTACTCGTTGGAGGTTACTCCCGGGGATGGGATCTTCGAGGTGACGATACGGTACTACGGTCCGGGCAATTATTCGATTAGGGAAGAGGAGGTCAGCCGCATCAACGCCTACGCTGAGAGCGCCAAGTGTCTGAACGCGGGCTTGAAAAAGTACTGCCACTGTGAATAAACAACTTTGTTGGTTTGTTTGTTCATACCGCACAAAGATAAGCTGTGATGATGATGATGAAGTAATAACAATAATTGACTTGTTGTAGATTTTCATCCGAGATATTGCGTATTGTTTTTTATTTATGAATGACAAGAGAACAATAATATTTCTATTGTGTGTGCAATAAATTTTATAACTGCGTGTTTACAGGATGGACGAATGCTATAGGTATTAGGCATTATGGTATGGTATTACAATACATCACAGTAGATCATGGATGTACTCCTTGATTTAATCATGTAATTATTTAAGACTGTTGTGAAAAAATTTGCAAAAAAACAACAACTATTTTTGCTGGGATAAGTGCAATGTAACAATTGTATCAGAAGTCATGGTTAAAATGTATAATTTAAAATTTTATTAGAATATAATATATCTTACAGTTTTTAATTTTCATAGTATACATATTTCACTCTACTTTACCACTGAATTAAAATTGTTTACATGAAGCTTAGCAGGTGTACGAAACAACGTGAAACAGACAAATTTTTTTACAAATCTCCCAAAGTTATGAATAAAATTATTTCATACGTATTGTTGTAAGTTCCAATATTTTTTTTTTTCTTTCGAGATAAAATCGAGTACTTTGCTAATCAAATCGTATACCTCGATAAGGCTCGAGTCTTCCTATATGTACCTGATATACCTCCTTAAAAATTACGATTCATTCATTTCCGTCCTTACTAACATCAAATGCATGTACATCTTTCGTTTTATCGTCAACAACAAACTTTATACAAGAGCATCTGCTTTGGTTTGTAAAAGTTCCGGAACATTGTGAACAAATAATTCTTTCACATTTTTTCCTACAGCTATTTTTTTTAAAAATCACTTTAGTCGTTGAAATATTTAAAAGTAAAACAAAATCACTGATCGTTTAACCAGCCACCCAGGCGGAAAAATAAGTGATTAAATTCATTTTTCAAAGGAATCCTCAGACTTCCAAGTGCGGACCCTCGAAGAGCCCTCCCCCGAGTCACACGTATTCGTGCCATGGTTGCCTTTACCGCTAACCCCATGCCTGGGAGTTCCAAACAGCATGACGGCCATCGGCCAAGTGCTCCTTGAAGACAATTTCTGCGTACTCTCCTGCCTGGAGCAGCCACTGCTGTCGCTACTGCTGTAACTGTTGCTCCGCTGGGCCAGGAAGGAGTCGAGAATCTTGATGCTCTCGTAAAGATCATCTATATCCCCACCATGGGTGGAAGAGTATCTGGTGCAGCCAAACGAGCCGATGATCGGAAGACTGGGAACTTTGATGGGCGTGCTCTTGGGGGTATTGGCCAGAGTGCCCGGGCCCAGAATACTCGTTGTTTCGGACACTACGTCGAACTCGTCCTTAAGTTTGACTCTATCGCTAATCAGCCACGGCTTGTTCCGTCCGAGTTTTGGGCCCCGGCAGAACTCGCTAAAGGTACCACAGGGCGTTGAGCAGCTCGTCGACAAGCAGCTGCTGTCCAGGCTCAGCTGGGGCCTAACAGTCGTCAGCCGCGAACCCGCTAATACCTTGGTTATCCGCTTTCTCGCCGAGGGCGACTCGTCCTCGGTTGAGCTCCGGTGCAGCTGCTGCACCGGAGCCCCTTTGTCATTTCTCGGTGCACTGGCGCAGCCGCAGGCTCCTTCGCAGGTACAAGCGAGGATGGACTGTTTCGTGGGTGTGCCAGGCGCATCATCGACCCCGGCCCCTTCCCCGTCGGCGGACTGAGGTTGCACTACTACTGGCGCTGGGTCGGCCGCATCCCGTCGGTGCAGCTCGATGGGCACGATTGGCACGGCCGCACTGGCGCAGCTGGCGGCGAACCCGGCTCTCGTGCAGGTTGAGGCATCGCTCGATCTCTTCGGCTGTGGGAGACGAGAACTACAGTTGTTGTCGCAGCAAAAACTTGGGACTTGAGCTTGAACTGTGACTAGCGCAGGTAAAGGTGGCGCTGTTGGTGTTATTGGCAATGAATGTTGTTCTTGGTGCAGATGATGGTGGTGGTGGTGGTGGTGGTAGAGGTGTTGTTGTTGTTGTTGATGGTTGCAGGTGGGAGGCTGGTGAGGCTGCTGACCGACGAGATACGCACCGAGCGTGTTGTCCGGGACTTCGGAGGAGTTGCTCTGGGTGCTGTAGTTGTTGTAGCCGTTGCGCCCCAGAGGCGGTGAGCTCGAGCCGGCTCGGGACACCGGTAGGGAGCGCGAGAGGGAGCCACTGTTGCGGAGCCGGCGTCGTCGAACCCGAGCCTCCTGGCAGTCGCCCCGGCAGACGTGCACTTGCGTCGGACTGCTGCCAGAATCCGAGGACTCGTGCCTCTCACTCGAGGGCATTGGTGTTCTCCCGGCTCCACCTGCGAGACGTCATATTATCAATTTAAACATGAGCGGTGTCTCAACGTACAGACGATTACGTTAAAGCTTATACGCACTGGGACCGGGAAGATCGTTGACAAACGCGTCGTCAAAGCTGAGCGGGGCAGTACCCGGTGGGGTCACGTACGGAGGTGGAGGACTTTCCGGGACCACGTGCTCGGTTAGGTTGCCACTGTTGCCAAGCGGGGACGTCTGGCTGCTCAGCGCTGCGTCCTCGCAGATGTTGAGGGTCAACTGTTGGGTGTCGCACTCGCAGCTTGCGTCCCAACAAAAACACCCATTATACAATATTGTTAAAGTGCCGTAGGGGCGAGGGGGGACTTACGAGCATTGGCTGGACGGGTTGCTTCGGCTGCGCCGGCTGCCACCCGGCAGCTTGCACTTTTTGCGGCGGGTGCCGCCGCTCTCCTCGTCCATGCCGAGCTTGATTACCTCATCGTAGTTGGGTGGCGCCTCGTATACCGGTGGCTCGTCCGTCGATGCCGAGACCTCGTCGATTCTCGCACCGTCTGCACATAAAGCAAATTACAACTAATATTTAATCCGTATCGAGATTTTGCTCGATTTCAAACCTTACCTAAAAGCTCGCTAATGGTGCGCAGTCGCGACTGTAGCTCTCGCTGCTGTCGCGCTCTGGCCCCGACTCTGTACAACAGAATCAGCAGGGTGGATATGAGGATAATCAGGCCCAAGCTGCTGGCTACGAAGACGAGGGTTGCCGTCTTTAGATCGGGGTAGCGGTCGATCTTCGGGAAGTAGTAGTTCGCCTTGTTCAGCTGCCACTTGCGATCGGGCATACTGACGTCCCACTCTGGAGTTTCACGTTAGACATGTGTATTGTACGTGCAAAGGTGAAATCAGATTAAGTATGTATACATAAAAGTCGTGAAACGTATGAGTTGCCGCGGTTCGTGGTTGCAAATTTAATTCTTTCCCAAGATTAGTTGGTGTGTTGTAAAATTTTTTTTGACTTTCACTCGCGAGAATAGTGGGTTAGACGTTGGTTTCCATAATGATTGGCAAAACATACTCATAAGGTTCGATCTGTCTATAAAATTTTCCTGCGATACATTTGTAGATCCAAGGTGAAAAGCATCCATTATGTGAAACCCACACGTTTTCATTTGGCCCTCTGCTTCACTTCTGAACTATGCCACTATTTCTGCGTATAAACCAAAGTATCGGGAGGTAAATCTATTATAATGCCATTTAACGGCTCCCACTGTCTATTAATGTACTTATAAATGTTGGAGTGGCCCATTTCAAGGTACAGTGTGGGCTCATTATCTTCAAATTTTGTAGCGATGGATGCACTTGATGAACACGGTATATATGCACCACCAGTTTGCATTTTTGGAAAATATTGAGTACGTATTTTCATGCAATTCTTTTCTAGTAATGTTGGACCTAGTGTCTCAGCTTTTCTTTTCAAACAAGTGAAAATTGTGTGATACACATCTATGTGTGAAGTGAAAGTGGGATGTATATGTATGAGCTAGCGAGGTGACTAACCGTGCAAGCAAGTGGCAGGCTCGTCGCTGTTGTCGCCGCAGTGGTCGAAGCCATCGCAGTTCAAGTAGCTCGAGATGCACCTGTGATTCTGGCAGAGGAAATCCGAGCCAGTGAAGCAATCTGAGAGAGAAAAAAAAAACAAAACATGGAGCCATAGTGATATCGATGCCGAAAATGTAATTTCTCAAAGTGCAAAAGGCCCAGTACCCATGTAGCTGAAAGTCGCGTAAGCAATGGCGAGCCTCGAGTTGGGTCCGAAACTACCGCGCAGACTAACGTGAAAGCCACTGGTTATCGGGGCTATGTGACTGAGTAACTTTGGTGGTTGCAGTTGGCTCACCGGGTGCCGCAAAATTTCCAAGGGCATCAGGGCGGACGTCGGGCCCTGCTTGATGATCAGCTCTGTATTACCCGCTGTTTGATGAAATATGAAATCGATATATATATATATATATATATATATATATATACTTTGACCCGAAAGAAAAAAAAAAATAAAACAAAATGGTTCATTGTAGGGTATACCCATCTCGGCGAAGGTGATGACCTTGAGGTACATGTGGGTCTTCATGTGGAGGAAATTCTTGGGCGGCCTGATCAGCCAGACGCAGTCGTAGGTCTTGACACCCTCGCCGACCATGTCCATCATGGTGATGGTGCCGCCGAGGTTGTCCACGTAGCCACCGCAATCCGTCACCGGGTGGTTGTGCTTGTCGTACGTCTGGCCCAGGACGAAGGAGTAAAAGGCCTTGTATCCCAGCCCAGTGCCCCCGTTCGCGTAGAACCTGATCAGCAGCGACGGGCCCGACGACACGATTATGGGCGGCCGGAAGCGCGCCCCGCTACTCACGTCCAGTCGCTGGCCGTTCCAGTCGTAGAACTGGAAAATCGGGGTGAGCATACAAGCGTTTCTTCGTGCTCTTGTATATTATTATTATTTACCTCCATGATGGAGACGGTGGCGAGCTGAAAGTCGCTAAAGATGATGCGAACGCGGCAGGTGGGCGTGTCAGGAGGACAGGACACGATGTACTCCATGCCGAGGTCGCGGGGATAGCGGGCGGGGAAAAAGGGCGACGTAAGGACGCCCCCGACGGTGTTGTTCGTCGATTTCGATATGTCGCTCGTCGTGCTCGAGCCCTTGAAGACCAGCCGATTTCCTGGTAAACGAGAGAGATCGGTTAGTTGTATCGGTAAATTTTTTTTTGTTTTTCATGCAAGTGTCGCACTTACTTTCAGCCGTGTACTCGACGGAGAAGGCATGCTCGTGCGACTGGCTGTAGAGCAGGGCGATCGACAAAGTTCTGGTGTTGGATCGGTACGTGATCGGCGCGTAATGGCCGCAAAAGGGTGTACCCGAGACATCCTCATAGGGAGGCTCCGAAACCCACACGTAATCGCACCTACAAATTGTACACGCGAAACGAGATGACAGTTGTGTTGTTCGTTTTACGTAACTGGCGTCATAGATTCTATCGTTCCAGTTATATGCTAACGATAATCCCCTATGATGCAGACGTAAACTTTTTGCACTTGTAAACGAAATCGTTACGCAACGTATGGAAACGAAAATCATTAATTTGGAAGAATTAAAAAAAAAAAAAAAAACTCAAACCTGCACGGACTGTCGATGGTCATGCCACCGTCGTCGCAGTGGTGGAGCAGACTGATGCTCTTGAAGGTGAGATTGATGACGCAGGAGGGACAGGTGATGAGCTCGAGGCTGCACTGGTTGTGGCTGCTGTTGGTCGCGTAGGGCCGCGAGCTGTCCTGGAGCGCCGAATTCTTGACGAGGGAGACATTGTCGGCCCTGAGGTAACCCTGCTCTCCCAACTCCACGTACAACCGACGCCCGTTGTGCGGACCGCAGATGTCCACATTGCGGATTATGTCGCCGTTCGACGCGCAGATCCACCAGACGGCCAGGAGGAGCGCTGGAACGCGGACGTCGTTGTTTTCGATGAAGAAATAATTTTAGTTGTTTTGTAACCCGATGGCAACGATTTGTTTGTCGATAGTGGAAGTGCAGGGAAGCTCCGTGGGATGGGATTTCGAGGAAACTCTATGTATCACGACAATTAAAGAAAGAAAAAAGAAGCACCAATGATTGCTTCGACGTTGCGAATAGCCAAAAAACAAGACTCACCATGACGGCACTGGCACATATTTCAGCGAGCAAGGCGACGGTCGTTCTGCCGGTCGGGAAACCCGACATTGCCCATCGGCTCGAGCTTTAATTTCGTTAGAGCTTGCGGTGGCGTGAAAGTCGCGCAGAGTTACGTGTGCCCCTCCCGTCTCGGGGCAGTTCTACGGCATCCCTTGCAGATATGCAGCTCGTGGGCTCTCCGTTAATTGGAACGGACGAGAGATTTGTGCTGCGTTTCCTACGTGCAGAATAGATATTCTGGAGAGGGATAGGGGTTTTTTTTTAAATTTTTTATTATTTATAAAAAAAGAAACGTTGTATCAATTTTATTTGTTTATTTATTTATTTGTTTGTTTTTCCGATGCTATTTCGGTGTACATGTTTTTCGATAAAATGTGTATTGGATCGATAATACTGACAAATGGTGCGCCTTTTTTCGTGGTCGTTTGGATTGTTTCGTGGAAATATTTTTGTTTGGTCGTTTCAAGCGGTTAAAATGAGACAGCAACGATAACACTTGGCTAAAACATTTGTAAACTTAAAATTACAAATTTCCTAAGGATTATGCGAGCTAAAAGAAGAGAGAAACGTAATGTGGTTTCTCCGAACAAATATTTCTTTTTACTACCTACAACATCGTATTTTAATAAAAGTAAATAATGAAATTACGAGTTTTCGTCAACTCCTTGTTATTTCTATCATTTTATCGTACGATAAAACAATGATTCACTACAATAATTTATGAATAATTGCTAAAACAAACAATAATCGTTGAGATCAGACAACACATTGGAATTTCTGATCTCGACCGTGACAAGCGTCATCGAGTCATTGGTTAAAACATAATTTGCGCCAAAAGCACTATTTCATTCTAACTAAAATTTAATAAAAATTAATTTATCGCTACGACGCAGTAAATTGCGAGCGATTTATGAAAAGAAAAAAAAAGAAAAAAAATTACTAGCCACAACAACAATAATTTGAAAATTCACTAAAGCACGCAATAATTCAAATGGTAAAATTATTAATTCCTACAATGTCAAACATGCATGTACCGTTTGTAAGAGAATAAACAACACACGCATGATGCACCAAAACAACAAATTAATATCACGAGCAAAAATTAATTTGCGCCTCGACACGCGATACAAACGGTAAGTGTGCTCTCAACTAAAACGTGGACAAATGCTTATGGTATATTATATATGTAGTTTAATTTTTAAAAAACACAAAGCAGAATAAAAAAAAGAGCACTTCCCGTTATGTCTAGGGCACATGTACACACACACACACACATGTGTTTGCAGTATCGGCTATTTGTCTATCATATTTACACAATTGGTGCAAACTTTGTTTCTCATTTTATCTACCTTTTCCATTTCAGCGGTCCCACCTTACTTATACACGCATGTATGTTACACCAAGAGCTAACGGTTCTATACGTTTATTTTGACTCTTGCCACCGATGAATCACAATAGCTATCGCAACTTGTTGTTCAAATTCTACTGTAACGCAATAACGTGGGTGCCGCTTAATTTTATGGTCATTTTTGTTAAAATACAAAACAAGTATAGCAGTTTTTGATCTTCGCTAATAAGTTTCGACGAGCCGTTGCTTAGTCACAGCAACGGCGGCACAGTACACTCGTACATGTGCTCTGGTGCGTCTACTAGCCTCCGAGACCGTTAATCAACTCTTTGACTTTGGAAAATCAGGTGAACTGTCCATGTTTATCTTAATTGCGTCTAAATGGTAAAAAACGCCCAAGGCGCGATATTATGTCGAGTAGTGATAAAATCATGGTAAACGCAGAAGTGAAAAAAAAAAAAAAAAAAAAAAAAAGTACAATTAATTGCATTTTTGTTTGCTGGACATGTAACGAGAATAAAAACATCTTCATACGCGTAGCACAACTTGCTAATACTCGGTTATTTTCGTTCCTAATCTGTAGTGAAGATAGAGCTCGTCGAGGCGTATTTTGAGCGCAGCTTATCACAGCGACGACTATTGTGCTCGTACTATCTAAATTTAAAAAAAAATTAAAAAAAAAAAAAAAAACAATACGCTAAAATCACTGTGCTATAGACCATATTCCTGTGCGACACTGCACTAGCACTCCTGTAAAATCGAGTATTTGTTTTGCAATTCGTTCGAGCGAAGGTCATCATCTTGTAATTAGTTCTGGTACGGATGGTTGATCTGCTGGAGAAACAGGAAGGCCGCCGCTAAGAGAAGGGAACCACTGAGGTCGCCCAGGGCAGTCAAGTACGGTATGGCTGAGTTGTCGGGGTCTATCTTGTACTTCCACATGACGTGGATCATTATGTGCGCGACGTACAGCAGCAAAATCACCTGTTGGCAGGAGACAAAAAAAAAAAAAAAATTGTGATATCGATCGGTATACGCAAAGTATTTTGCTTGATTATTTTCCATACCTGGAGGACCGTCACCGTCAAATAAGCCAGCATGAAGTAAACGTGAATCGTCGAGCGGCTCCACTGTATGTAGTCCGCGGCAAAGGAGAACGCCACGTGTCCGGGGATGGACATCGCGATCAGTAGCCTGGCTGTTTTAGCAGATGGCGCTGAAAAAGAAAGACAAACGCGCGTTTTGGAAATCGGTATCTCTACGATTCGATTACAGATTCAGATAGGGCCCGTTATCTTTGTTTACGCGTCACAATTGAATTACGTAAAGAAAAAAAAGATCCATACCTCCGTGGAACAGTGCCGTCCAGGGCGAGACCCAAGTCTTGGTCCAGGGTGGCAGGATCCCAACGAGCGTGGACTGGTGCAACATTGTCGAGATCCTGGATGCTTGGACGGACACCAGGTTACCGCCGATTCCGTTGACGATCGGTTGGAAGATCACGAAGCCGTTGAGGCTGTCCACCGCCTTGTCCAGGATCAAGCCACCGAGACTAAACGAACGTATGCGCATTAGAGTATGATTTTGCAAGATAAATGGTAATAAAAAAAAAATAAAAAAACAATGGTCAAAGTGGGCTCACCCGCTGATGAAGAGCGCGGTTATGACGGGAATCCAGCCCGAAGTGAGCACGTTTCTCGTGTACTTGTTCTTCAAAACGATGATTATCCAGATGGGCAGCATGACGAGGAAGGCGCTGACGATCACGTAGAGGATCCAGATGTCGTGCTCGAGGCGATTGAAGAGGGCCGAGGCGATGGTGGACAGGACGCTGATGGACACGACGTCGCCGATCGACGCTGCCAGCGGGGTGGCCAGGTTGTCGGGGTTCATCCTCAGCCGGTGCGAGCCCATTATCACCGCGACCATGGCGAAATCTGCGGATTATCGGTTTCGTCAACTTTCCCCGTCCACCAAATATCCACGAATCCCCACGTGGTTCAATTTACACCCTTATACCTAGTATGAAGCAGGAGCTGGTGGCGGTGCACACGCTCGACGCGACGAGTAGCAGCGTGTGGTCCCAGGAGTACTTGTTGTCCATGGCCGCGCCAACGGCTGTGGCGAACAGCGCGACCAGCATCGCGGCTACGATAGCCTGGATCTGGACGAGGGCTATGTTGCCGATGATCATCTTGACGACCTCGCGGTAGCCCTTCATGTTGCCCAGGTTGGCCTGCGTGCTCAGCCTCGAGGCCAGGCACATGTCCAGGTTGCCCTTGAGGCCCAAGAGCGCCGGCACGAGGATGAAGATCTGGGATACTTGTTGGAACACGTCCCAGTCCTTCAACCGGCAAAAAAATAAAAATTTCCACTCGTCAGTCGTCTTTCATTTTCCTCCTTTGGGCTTATCGCGACAGATTTTTAACTCATCCCCAGCCGATCCCCGCTGTCTTGTCAACTAGCTCGGGTATCGTTGTTTACGTGCATCGGTCAACAAGATACGACGGGGGATTTAATTAAACGTACAGCTTATACTCTTGCATCAAGACTTCAGGGAGAGTCGAATTGTTTTTTTTTTCTCCTCTTGTTTTTTCATTGTTTGGCAAACTTATCGGCTGACCTAGATCGCGAATCTTTATCCCAAAGGCATATCGGGGGGTAAGAAAAAAAAAAAAAAAAAACAATCCGTCGAGTAATGCGATCCGTTGCAACGATGCACCGAATTGCGTCACGATTGAATCGGCGAGCAATTAGCGTGTGTCGCCAATTGGCGGCGAAACGAAAGAGAGACAGCGCTTACCTTGACCCTCGCCAGAACGAGACCGGCGCCAATGGTGCCGATCCCAGCGATGAAGAACGGCACCGAGATCTGCAGTCCCGTGTGGTACCAGGTCTCCTCGGTGATGAGTCGCCTCCTCTTTTTTTGTTTGATCGCTGGTGGTGGTGGTGGTGCTTCGGGGTCGTCGCCCCCGTCGCCGCTGCAACTGGTCGCATTGTCGTCCGGTTTCGGCTCGGAGTTGGCCACCGAGCAAATGGTGACGATCGAGCTGCCGCTCGACAGCGAACCGATTTCTGAGCTCTTGTCGCTGGTGTCTTTGCCGCAGGACTTGAGTCCGGCTGTGGGAGAAATCAACCCGGGGTTAATGGACTTTGTCGACTACACTTTGGGTGTACAAAAATGATGGTTTACAGAGGAAACCTGTATTACACGGAACGGAAACATTATAGGTATAGTTCCCAAGTTCCCATCGGCTTGGGAGGAAAAAAAAAAACTTGCACAATTATTGCTAATAAAGCGCTCAAGCGTAAGTGCCTTATCTAAGTCGGTCAACCTGTATTGTACACGGGTCCGAAGCGGCTTATTATTATTATTATTTTTTTTTCTGTTGCATCGTACACCATATATATATAATCGCGTTAAAAAAAAAAAAATCTGCTCGCGCGTTTCACCAAGTAATCCATTTTGCCGGTGCACCCACGGATGTCAAGGTTCGCCAAAGGTCGGATATATATATATATATGTATACATAATGACGCGCATTGTGTGCATCGCTGACATATGTATATATACACGTATAAACGCTAATTGGCTTGATTACGCGGAAAACATTTCCAGCCGCTGTGCAGCTGTCTCCCCTTATCTGAACGTCTCCGCGTGTATACGTACACTCAATAATGGTTATTTCCAATGACAAATCGATCAAAGACTATCGCCCCTTTCCCCTCCCAGTCGACAACTTTGCAGATCGGAATCGGCGCGCTTGCGTCTCTCTCGCTCGATGGATTTTACCGGCGTTTGGATTCTTCGATTGTACGCGGCGAGCAAAATGAGACTCGGAAAAAGCTGTTCCGGTGAAGCTCAAACAACGGCTCGCCGGTTTAATTGGCGCGTGTTTTTTTGTTGTACACGTTTGCTTGCTTTATCGACACGCAAACGAAGACGACTCCTCTTGGCTTTCATCTCCCGATTCTTGGAAATTTAATAAAGTTACGGAGTTTGCGAGACGAAGAAGAAGAAAAAAAAGAAATCTCGTCATTGTGCGAGCGAAGCTCCCCATCGATGGTTCTCTCGCCAATTAGACGCGACCGTTCATTCCGTACTATTGTGTCAATTGACGCGAGTTAACGTTTATCCAGCTCGAGCGTATATATACATCAACGCGCATCGGAGCGAAGAAATCGATAAAAAATAATAAAAATGCTTGGGGGGGGGGGGGGGGCGAGTCGCTCACACATGTATGTTTCCTGCCTTACCTGCGATCTTTTTGACAATGGCGGCGTTATCCGCCTGGATGGTAATGCCCTCGACGGACGGTAAGTCCAGTCCGGTTTTGTCCGCGCCCTTTGCATCGGCGACGCCCAAAGTCAGGACGACGCTGTCCTTGCCGGGTGCCATTTTCCTATCAGTCTTATCGTCTCGGTTTTGTTGGGTTGTTTCTTGGTGATCCGCCGCCACGGATGGCCCTTCCTTGTCTTGGGTGTCGTACGCTGCTGCCACCACCTCAACCGCTGGCCCTTCCTCCGCGTCGGTCAACACGGCAGATTCGTTCGCCGAGACGGGATACGCGACCATGTCTGCCAACACGCGTATCATCATCATAAGTATACAAATTATTTTCTTTTTCCTTGAACAATCCACACGTGGCTCTCGAAATTTGGCCCGTCGAAGTAACTCACCGCGTTCGCTGCAGCCTGATTACGCAGTCCCCCGGTACTCGCAAAAAATCGAGCACAGGATCGACTTGTGGAAGCGTCTGTTCCGATGGTCCGATATCGGTCAGCTTTAGTCGACACGAGCTGTAAAGACAAAGATCGGTATAATTTGCATCCTTTCTATAATCATCCTATGGTAAAATTTTTACTCAATCCATTGTGGTGTGATTTTATGTCCTACGAAACTAAAGCCACACGGCATAAAAATCGGCATCGCCGGTAAACTATCAACGATTTGCCTGCAAGAACGAGAGAATCGACAGAGACGATGAAAAAAAAAAAAAAAAAAAAAAAAAAAAAGGTACAGCTAATAGCCTGACTCGTTGATTAAGATACCGTATTTGTCGATGGATTCGCACGCTCCGCTGCTTATGTGCAGGACAAAGCGGCGTTAAAACTCTCCCGCACGCACCGTTTTGCACCGTCTCGACGCGGTCTTGGGGTCGTTGGCGTCAAGTGTGCACTGGATCATCCTTTTCATGCGTACGATGTGTGTCGCTCAAGGAAACCCTACACCTCTCGCGCGTCATTTCTGTTATGGTACACCTAAGCGCGATTAGTTCATTTTTTTTTTTTTTTTGTACAAGCATAGGAAACGCGTCAGAGAGGCTGATATTCTACTTAAACAGCGACTAAGCCGGCACGTGCATAATATATACCTCATCTTTGGAAATTAAATATTTTACGGATTCGCGCTTTTGCCGATGGTGTCGATTCGAAATTTGCCGATCGTCCACTATACCGCGTTGATGCGTTCGATCAATATTACATTTTGACTTTTTTCTTGATGATTTATTTAAAAAAGTTTTGTGAACTTCATTGGAGCTACAGAGTGAAATTGCTTACTCGAGTAAGGGAACTTTTTATTATGTTTGATTTATATCGGAGACAATAGTATAACAAATTTCGTTAATTAACTGTAGCAGCAGGACTTTAACGCCGAGGATACGACTAAAAAATATGACTATACCAGTATAATTTACGCCACTGTACTGTTGAGCAGTTGAAATTTTAATGATCAATTTCAAAGTTTTTTCGAGAGATAAGAGTTCATTTGTAACAACGACTTTTGTCGATAATTTAAACGGTAAAACTAACTGGAACTCTTTAAAAGTAAAAAAAACGAGGTATAAGCGAGTAAAAATTCAAAATGGAAAACTGCATCAAGTTAGGAATACAATTAAATTTTTATTTTTTGTACGCAAACAAATCTACAATTTGGAATAATTTGAACGATAAAATCAAGGAGTAAGTTCATCCTTGTACCTGTACCAACGGGTTATACCTGTAACTTGTAAAACAAAAAAAACAAAACTTACATTGCACGCACGTCATCTACATACGAGCATCGATCGAAACTTCATTTGGGCCGCTGACGGCGATTACGTAAACGGACTCACGTGATCGATTGTACCATTAAGTATTTTCCAAATGTATATAGATGCTGATGATTTAAAACAGAGGAACAACCAACGTGTCGATCAACTCGCGGAATGACAAATAATCTTATCTCTCAATATTGTATCGCAGCTCGGTAAAGAGTCACCAAGATCGAGATGGGGTGGTGCGCGCAAACATTCCACCACATTCCGGTAAATACTGAAAAAATCTCGCAGAACACGCACAGTGGAAAAGTAAGTAAAAAAAAAAAAAAAAAAAACCCACGGGAATCACTCGAGTGACACACTTTTTTTTTGAGAACAATACGTCGCGGAGCGCACCTGGCGAGCGGAAAAACGCGCGTGGACGTTTCCAAGCATCACCGTCCCCGCGTTTGTTGTCTTTTTTTTTTGTCGCTGCACTCTGGCAGGAATCCGCGGCAAACCGTTTGGCGGTTTTTTTTCTCTCTCAAAGGCTCCATACCCACGTAATGACACGCTAGAGGAGTCGCGCTGCCGAAATATAGGCAGGTCGCGTGTCACCGACGACGCCACAACGCGGCGTTACGCAACAGCCCGTCGACGAATTTCAGAGCAGCGTGTATGTACGCAAATGCCACCGACGACTTGCAGTTTTTCGGCCGGAAGCCTTTTTTTTCCTATCTGTGAGGTAACACATTATTGCAGAATTCGAGAACATTTCCCCCGCTTCGATGAATTTTTCCAAGCGCTATACATTGTTTGTAACGTCAATACTGCGTATATATACTGAGGAGTTGGTGAATTCTGACGTCGACGCGTGCAATCAATTCCAAATGATTAGAAAGGAAAAAAAAAAAAAATGTTTTTTCTCGTATCGCTTGTTAAATCATCAATCGTTATCGATCGTGTGAGATATACTGTCGCCTATACGCGATACTGTCATTTAGGATTGACGCACGCCAAGTGTACGCGCGATTGTAAATATCGCGTTGAAATTTAATTAAATTGATTGGGTTTGATAAGTATATAGGTGCGAGTGATGCGCGATGAGTGTAGGTATTAATTATTGTATATTATACGTATCGTTTGTACTAATCAGTGGCGCGTCAAATCTATAATTTTATTTCGACCGCATCCCAATAAATCAACAATTTCATTCGGACATCTGAATGTTATTGATAATGTGTGTCGTATCGTGGCGCGTGTGCTTGACGGTTGGTAATCTTGACAATTTATTTGTCGAGGAATCCTACGGCATGTGATATATGAGCGATGAATTTGAAGTGGAGGAAAAAAAAAAAAATCGAATGGCGATGGTCTCCTCCGGGGATTGCCGTTCACACGCGATTGAGGAGTATTTTCTTTTCATGGAACTATTGACGTCAAGCTTATCAAACCGAATACGGAACAAAAAAACGTCGTACGATAATATTCGATCGTATTGATGGCTTTTGCACGTTGTTCAAATGGCTTTTTGAATTTTTTATAAAATGGTTAAGTGCCTAACATCGGAAATTTTTTTTTTTTTTTGATAAATACTTGCTCGTTATTCACATGTTTTATAAATTGTTGCAAATGAGACAAAAACAGTATATTTAAGTTTTATTCTTTTTTTTTTGAATAACTAAATACATTAACAACCGTTGTCAAACGATTTTTTCGGTCACAAAATCTACACTTTTTGTATTTCACCTTTTGTCGGAATGTCAAGTTCTTTGTGCGATAAGAAAAAACAGTTTTTCGGTGTTTTCGTAATTTTTTTTTTTTTACAATAGATCATTTGCATGAAATCCTTGAGTAACCGTAAGATATAAAATAATGTGTGTTTTTTTAGATCAGCTTTTATATCCGTCGCTTTGTTACAAAACATCATATTCTTTCTTAGCGCCTCAAACCTTAAAAAAAACTATTTTCCCAATTTTTTCGATGTCAAGTACTATATTTAATTTTCTATTAAAAAAAAAAATCTAAAATTTTCAAAACCACCGAAAAATGTTAGTTTTTGTATACTTAGTGATGCATATGTTGACACCGAGGGACCTGCGATCTCGAAGCAGCGCCCAAAGGGACTCGATGTGCATGCCCCGACTGGATGCGCATCACGTGCCAACTCTATTTTTCTTACCGAGGGCGCAGTAAAAGTCCAGAGACGTAATAAAAATCCCCAAAGTGGGAAAAATAGATTTTGGTAACGGAGCTCAGTCGTAAAGTAAGTACCTGGGAATTCGTTATTTACAAGCTAAAGTGTAATCCATAAAATTGTGTAAATGAACCTTCCAACTTTTGGCTCAAAAATTGTCTTCTCCACCAGCTCCACTACATTTATATAGGTGGTCACTTATTTTGCTGGGATATAAATAGGCGTTGCCTATCGTGCGAGAGGCACTAGCGTTGTCCAAAAGCGATAATACCTACTCTATATTTACCCAAAAACTCGTACATATAAGTATACAAATACGCGCTACAGACTGTTAAAAAGTTCTTTTCATCGTTTTCACCTTCCCACGTTTATACACAACGATAAAACTGTAGGTATGTCTGTTGGATCAAATCCAACGGAGAGTTCGAATGTTAAGTCAAGTTTTATCAGTTGCAAGTTCAAGTGCGCGGACAAGCGGCTTCCAAGGTAAGTATAGACACAAGGTTCGCCTTTTCTCGTTGTTATACTTGCATATACGTACAGATAGCACCGATCGGTGTCTCTCTCAACTCGACACTTTTGCTCGTAAATCTGCCGACTCTTGTTACGATTGACGCCTGTATGCGAGCAAGTATATGGTACTTCTAACGCTACTTCCAAGAATGAGATTTAGATGATTTTCAAGCACGCGCCAGTCATTCGGTAGAACGTGTGCGCGAAAGATGAGAAAAGCAACACATGGCCGTAAATACGGCGATAAGGGGATATCGGGTAGCTTTTCTGTACACACTATAATATAATGTGTCGTATATGCAAAGACGGACAGACAGACAGATGACAGATAGATGAGCGATGTGTGTGGATAGTAACAGTTTCACGAAGTTACGCAATGTGGATTCATGGTATCTGTACTTCTAAAATTAATTCCAAGTCAGCGATCACGTGATCACGTGGACGAGGTGAGCTAACTATTTGCTTACCGAACTGATTACCGATGGTACAAGTTTGACTTTCTTTTCTTTTTCTTTCTTTTTTTTTTTTCTTTAAAAAAGTCCATATCTCGAATTTATCTCATGCTTGGGGTAGTTCTGGCGGTACCTCGCTACAGTCAAATGACTTCGCTCTACAATGAGTATCAAGTGTTTATTGCTTACAGTATGTACCAAAGGTTAAGCTATTATTTTCTTGGTTCAGAAGAAATTCAAGCCTACATATTAAACTTTCAATTGAAAAATATATGCGACAAAGTTCTGAAAGTTGGAGATTTCTGTGCACTTTGTTGTTTACTTGCACTTTGAAAGTATACGTGTACAAAGTTTAAGAAGTAATTTAATAGAGAAAAATCGAGTTGTAGCAGGTATTTTAGATTATTTTTTCCACTTTTTAAACTATATTGTAAATACTTAATATTGTTACATATATCAAGGGTAGTTTCGGTTTAATTAGCTACTCTATCTTTGCGAATTTTTAATCAAGTTACTTTTACGTTAAAATTCAAAAGTTTGTAAAGTTTCGTCAATCTGAACATTATCAAGATACCGTCAGTAACACCTTAAAAACTTATCATTTTATTCCAAAAACGATGTGCCAGATATATGACTTGTGTACGAAAGGTCAAAATTCCAAACCGATACATGTGTATGATAGTAATAAGTTGAATGTATCTATCTATAATTTGGAAAAACAATTTAGTATTTTGACTTTTCGTACAATTATTACAAGTGACAAATCACATTCGATCTCAGATGATTATGTTCATATTGAGTCGTGAATTGAAAGGTTTAAAATATTGTAATTGATTCGTATGGTTTTATTTTTTCTTGGATAAAAAAAAACTTTGTACGTTTTTGTATACTCGTTTTTCGCCCTATATCTTGGATGTCTTTGTGAACCTTTGGTTTTTATTGGACATGAATAAGGTAGTGCTGCTGAGACAGGTATGATTGAAGTAATCCAAGTCGTCGGGTCGCTTTGTTATCTTCAATAAGTTATAGCATGATTGGATAAATGTTAGAAAGTTTTGACATTAAACTCCATGTAATATGAATTGAAATATTTAATACTTTGTTGGCTTGAAGTTAGGGCATGAGATATTTCCAATTATTGAAGATATTTTATAAGTGTGGTTTTTATAGTATAGTCAAACAAAAATTCTGCAATATATAAATTGTGTAAAAATTGTAAAAATAAAGACAAAGTATGAGATAGCAAATTTAGAAATGAATTCGTATCGTACGAGTAGTCAATTTTTTTTCAAATCTTATCAACGACTTGTGAACATGTGTAATTAGTTGAGCAAAAAGTGCTTGTTTTTAATAACTTGGAAAAATGTGAAAACGTCAGAATCTTATCTATAGAATAAATATTCAAACGAAATGTATTAAGCATTATGCATACTATCCAATCCCAATTAAAATTATCTTTGTAATGAGGAAAAACACTCATCGAAAAAATATAGTACTGTTTTTTTTTTTTTTTTTTTTTTTTTTTTTTTTTCTAACCAAAACTTACGCTTATGAATCACGTGATACTAGAAATCGATATCAAATCTGTATACTGTCAAGACTGTGAATATTAAATTGGTAACCACGTTAATCAAGTATAAGCTGATACTTGATACTTTAATGATAAATGTATTTTTGTTCAACAAGAAACGTTGGTAGTAGTTAATTTTTAAAATAATTTTGTATCATAAATTCCAAGTTATTTGTTTCGACGATATGAATAACTATTTAGTATTTTTTTTTATTGATTAGGGTCGTCGTTTTTAATAGCTTCCATGTGTCGATTACGTTAACCTAAAAATTCTAACCGAAGACAACTTATTTTTCGATGACGCCAAGTTTTTCCCCAGATTTTTAGGCCGTACGTTATTAAAATATGACTAGTCTCTGAAATTTTCCACTAATTAAACAAAAATTATTAAATTTTCCAGTAAAAACCAACAGAAACCAGTAGACTCCATCCCAACCCACATTGAAATTTGAAATTTCAAGTTTATTTCAATAACCGATAATTTGTAGACACCTCAATATTATAATTTTTTTCTTTTGATTTTCAAATAAAACGTTAAAAATTAGTCAACAATCTAAGAAAATACGATACAGAGCTCGGGTGCCAATAGAGACTAGTGACCACGTGCCCCGAGGGGGTTCGAGTCTCCCTCTCGTTCCAGCTTGGCATACGTGTAAACCGAGTTATATATACAGATGGTACAATAAATTAACAAACATTAAACACGATACTGAGAAAATTTATCAGCCCCCGGGTCCAAGGTAACCGGCATTCCACAAAGACAGCATGTAAGGTAATGTGAGTTATACTTACTGAGGGGACACATTTCGGTGAATTTGCGCCAGCGTGCCCAGCTTAGTCGTAAAGACGTTGTCCAGCCTAGTAAATTTAACCGTGACTCGGCGAAAGAGTGTTCTGGCGAGCCCACGTGACGGTGCCCGCTCGATAGCTGGATTCCTCTTCGAGACCCCTATAAATATTCCTGGGGCGGAAGCACACGAGGAATTTCGTCAAAGTTTTGTCGAAAGAGGCAAAAAAAGAAAAAAAAACTCGATCCTCTCCGTTCAAGCGTACGTGTACTTCTAACGCACGGAATTCCCGAAACACGTATGTTCCCCAGACGGAGAAGACAATGGGTCGGAAAATGTTTGGAGAGGCGACCCGCCGAGTGAAAAACCAGCTGGTCCGTGACTGCTCGGCGAAATGAGGGATCGGCGCTAATAATAATCGGAGAGAGCGAGAGTGCAGCAGGGAAAGAGGGACGAGTAGGTAAAGTATATATAATATATGGTAGAGCGGAACAAACTGTTCGGCGCTGGCGAACGCACTTGACTGATGAAGAAAAGCCTCCGCCGCTCGTTTAGTTCAATCGGCAACGTACACTCGATTCGGTTTCACGCATTTGACGGGCGGTATTGTGTGGGTGCGTGCGTGCGGCTCACATGAGCGTGAATCCCTCGCTCTCTCTCTCAACGCAAGATTGGACGAACGCGCGCAACATCGGCATTTCGTTGTCCGACGTGGTCTCTCTTTCTCTCCCGCCCCTCCCCCCTGCCCTTCTTATCTCTCCCGCACTCACTCTCCCGCACTTGTATGAATATATTATTATTATTATTATTGCACTGTGGTGAGCACTCGTCGGTTGAGTACTTGTCCGAGAACCGCAGCATCAGCGGTCGGAGATCGGTACCGGTGTTCCGCCAATACCAATTATCGCGAGCTTTTTGACTCGGTCACTTTGTTTAAAAATTTTTTTTTTTGTTTACCCCACGTACCTGAACAAAAATTGTATATATCATTCGGCCGAACGCGCGTCGGTCGCGACTGGGGCTTTGCGGTGGTCACCGGGTTCCTTATATATCTTTGCCCGCAACCGATTCGTGCCGTTGATTAGGACATGCCAGTTTTTTCTCGCCCCGTCTACCGGTGTATCTCTCCATCCGCGCGATCTTCGAGTACCTGCTGCTGAAATCGGGGACTTTTTTTCCCCAAAATATTTCAGATAAAGGCCAGTCGTTGATCGATCGAGCGAGCTTCCGCCCTACAAACGGGCTTCCCCCATTTTTTTGTTTGACTCTCGCTCGTTAGGTATCGGTCGTTCGATAAAAGAGCCATTAAGTTGGTCATACGCGCGCTGATTACACTTCCAGGTATAGAAATAAGTAATCTGTGCGCCTGTATCAAAACTATACATATACATGCAAGGTCGTAAACGTGATACCGATTAATAACCGATTACTTAAATGAACGTGACCTGTTAAAAAATGTTTTTGTAAAAAGTATCGCGTTTCGGTGTTTTGCCGGAGGGGTAAAAGTCGCGCGAGGGCCGATGAAAATTTTTACAATAAGCACGTATCGGTATCGGTACGTGGAAACCTTGTGTATACTAAATACTTACCTCTGATCGTAGAGAGAGATCGTCGACAAATTAAACTACGTTTGAAGTGACGTCTCGGTGTACAATTTTTTCGTGCGACCAACGAGTGGAGCAACAACTCCGTTTGGATATTCGATGCGCCCGTGGGTTTTAACGAATGTTTTCATCGTTTGACTTGGTTTTATAAATATACCATACTTGTATAGGTATATGGTAGAGTGACACGCGCGTCTGCGTACTTCGGGGCTATTGTAAGCTCTTACTCACGGGTGTAAACACGAAAACAAGAGTACTATAGTTTTGTCGGCATATATGGACGATTTATTTTTCTCTTTTCTTTTTGAGTTGAAATTTTTTTTACGAGCCGTTGCGCGCAGATACGCGAACGATGGAGCAGAGGACGATTGAACTCTTGTCGGCAATGCGCTTCTCACTGGCGAATAAAAAAAACCATGTCTCGATTATCAATGTGCAAGTATAATATAACAAGGAAAGCGCGTGGAATTCAAAATATTTACACTACCTCCATGTGTAAGGCACAACTGCAAAACGCGCGATCCATATATATATTTATATATATATATATTTCTTTCACCTCAAGGATCCGTCGAGTATTTTGTTTTTGACAACGGCATGGCTGTTGTTTCAAGTGTGTGAAACTGCGCAAACTTGCTTTCCGAGCTGTTGACAAAATTCCTTTTGCCAACCGATTTCCATCGCTCTCGATGCCAAAACGTTTTTCTAACCGCATAAAAACGAGCACGAATTGCTCAAAGATCCACGCAAACTTTTCTTTGTTTTCCGTGCACTTTGATCAATATTATAGTTGCAAAATTCGCCGGCGTTGACACCTGGACGAAGGTAAGAATAGAGGAAACAGTTTTTTCATGTGCATGATTTGTTCACAAAGAGAATGAGTTTTTTTTTTTTTTTTTTTTTTTATAAAATAGTACAAAAATGAGCCATACAACAAACGATCGCGTCGTCAGATGATGACAAACATACCAGTGTTGACGCGTGAAGCGCCATTAATCATCAATAACAGCATGTGAGATTACAAACAGATTGCCCCTCGTACCTGACTACACCGACACACGCGGCCAATTTTCAACTCTGGGAATCACCTTATTTACTCGTCTTTTGCGCAGCAGGAGTGACGAAAAAACGCTAGGATTTTCCAAAAGCAAAAAAAAAAAAAAAAAGGAAAAACGTGGCTTGCGATGACGCGTTTCTTTGGATTTTTCTTTAATCTCGTCGGTGTTTGATGTTTTTCAGGGGGGTGAAATCACAGATAAGTGTTTTACAATGGAAAGATACGCAATGTACGTGGTGCTCTTGACATTAAGACGCGTCGTAAAATGTTACAACCAAATATACGTAAAATATTTTGCCATAGAGCCGGTGTTGAAAGCAAACGATGTTTTTTACATACCAACCTTATTTTCAGAGAGCCCCAGTGTGTTTTTGATTTATGCAAACAGAGAACGTGTCTACGGCAATTAAACTATAAGCCAGTGATGCATGGCGTGTATTTGTTACAAAGAGCTGATCAGAGGCGAGATAATGTGTACTGTTGTGCAAGAGGCTATATTTAAAAAAAATTATGTTGTAACAATAATGTACAGCATACACGATAAAACGAGATTTGATCTTTGGATTTTGGATCGAGATGCCCCAGCGCGAGTGGAAATTTCATTTTCCCCGTAAATTATAATAATTTCCAGGCAGGTGTAAAAAATCGTTTCCAAAGAAACTATAGCGCGAAGCAGTGAGCGATGCGCGATAGCGAGATGGTGGCTTTCCAGTTGTCAATTATCGTCTTCTCGAGGATGAGCACGGAGGTTACATCGTTTCCTCGTATAATCTCCGAGTGACATCGATTCACCGCCTGCACGAGGAATCATTGACAACCGATGTCCTGCTTAAATGACGCTGATAATGCATACCTGTTACACGTTATTATCACCGAGCGCGGATAATTCGTGAATAATTCGCGTCGACGCGGACGAGTAGGTGTACACAATATTATATACACGTATATATATAAACAAAGAAAGTCGCTTTGATAGGCAGGTTTTATCGGCAATTAGGTGTTTTACGATTCTCGTCTCGTTAGTCATGTTGACCGATAAAATCATACGGATGATAACGATTAACTAATGGAATGTTACCTTATCGTGTTCTGCGGTGTGTTTGTTCCCTGAAATGTTTTCTTTCCTCGATTTTTAATACTAATTCAATGAGAACGAAAAAAAAAAA